AATAATTAATTAACTTAAAGTTAAGGGTTTTAAGTACCAATTTAAATTTCAAAGTTTAGTTTATAAAATGAAACGATGATATTCAAATTGAAGAATAAAAGTAATAAATATAAAAAGTAATTAATTAATAAATTAATTATTATAAGTGTTAGTTTCAACATTTAATTTTTAATAACTAGCATTGTTAAAATATCAAATCTAACTAGATATATTATTTAGTGTATGGAAAAATTAGGATGTTACAGGATTCTTCCTGGTGGCTTCTTCTAGTCCTCTTGGGTTGTGGGGAATGCTGGTTCCAAGGAGAGATGTGGTCGCATTTGCGGATGGTCAAGGTCTCTGGCTCTAGAGATGTCTGACGGTTCCTCTCGCGCTGCGGAGGGGGACTTTGTGGTCTCTGACGCTCCTTCCTTGGCAGAGGAGATCTTAGACGACTAGACTCTTCTAATGCTCCAACCCTCATGTTCTGGTTGAGGATTACGAGGTTGGTTTTGTTGAGAACCTCGAGGAGGGAAACCATGGCCGGGTCGGTGCTGTGCGGAACTGGGACTGGAAGGTGTTGCAGGATTTCGTTGTGATCTGCACGAACAGGGGATGTAGAAGATGTGGCTCCGTCCCTTTGTCGGAGGACTTCGTCGCCATGAGAGGTGGGTGGCTCCATCATTGTCAGTCTTGCTGAAAGGGAGAAAATCATAGTTGCGAGCATCAAGAGTGTTGTCACGACTGGCCATGATCGGGATTTTGAAGAATTTTTTTGGTCTCGTGTCTACGAAAAGAGAAAAGACGGGGATAATAAGTTTCCCATAGACGACGCTACTGATCTTACCGATGAATCAGAACCTGAGATGGTCCAAAGAAAATCGTCTGTCATGCTGGATGTGAAAGAGGAAGAGGGGGTGTACCTATAAGGCACTCCGATGCTAAAGTAAGAATCGGGCAAGAGAGAGAGAGAGAGAGAGAGAGAGAGAGAGAGAGAGAGAGAGAGAGAGAGAGAGAGAGAGAGAGAGAGAGAGAGAGAGAGAGAGAGAGAGAGAGAGAGAGAGAGAGAGAGAGCAAGTACAAAATATGAGTATATCAGGGTGAATATTGGATACCTGACCCTCTCAAGTGAGAGGGTTTTTATAATTCCCCCAGCGCTTGGCCATTGGTCCCTATTTTTAAGGTGATATAACCGTTTCATGAAGAATAGGTAACTGCCAGAACTAGCCGTTGGAACGGGAAGAAGTGTCGATAACTAGTCGTTGCTACAGACAGGGAGGTAGTTACAGGCACATACGTTTTGATTGTTTCTGGATGGTGGAACTGTGTGTGACGGGCAGAGACTGACAAGGAGAAGTCTTGTGACCAGGGGTAAACTGGTCAGCCTCCCCTATTGGAGGGGCAAAAAGGTAAATTCTCCTCCAAAGTGGTTGGACTTAGACAATTGGGTCGTTCTGGGAGTAGAAGTGGATTGGGCTATTCCTAGCCACTGGGCTAGTCCGGAACATGTTTCCTTCAATTTCAGTTGCTCTCGAGTCCTGCTACTTTCTCTTCTGGCGTGATTTTATCTTGCGATTTTTTTGCCTTCATATCTTGAGTTTATTTTTCGTTATTTAATCTTGATGATTTTTCTTGGTTATTTCTCAATGTTTTTCTGTGATTAACTGTGTATTTTTCTTACGATGCTTTGCTGTAACCGTTAATATTTTCTCACGATGTTTTTCCGTGATTGTATTTTCTCTCTGTGTCTCATGATGGTTTTGGAAAGACAAACTGAAATCTCAAGGTCCTTTATGGATAGGTAATTCAAGAATCATTTCACTTAACTCATAATTCTATTTTATGTTTTATTTGTTAACAAGGCTTGTTGTGAGATGATTTATGAAGTAAGGCACATAAATATGACAGGAGATAAATTCACAATTCATCTCAAGCAGATGCAATGCTCTTGTAGGAGTTACATGCTCACTGGCATTCCATGCTACCATGTAATTACATGCATCCAAAGTAGAGCTGAAGACCCTGCAGATTACATTCCTCCCATGTATAGGAAGGAGAGTTACCAAGCTTGCTATAAACCAATCATATATCCAACCAACGGTGGGAACTTATGGGAAGAGACGTTATACCCCAACATACTACCACCACCATCAAGAAGAGCACAAAGGAGACCTAAGAGAAGAAGAAACAAAGATAGTGATGAAAAGATACAAGATACAAGATTTGTTAGTTAGAAAGAGATGTGTGATAAATATGACCACAACAAATTCTCATGCCCAACCGCATCAACACCAAGACAACCTGAACAATCTCAAATACAACCAATCCAATCAACACAAGTCCAAACACAATCAACCCAATCAACACAATTCTAAACATAGCCAACTCCAAGATTTCAAACAAGGAAATCACCATGAAGAACCCAAAACACAAATGCACAAGGCCAAACACAACCAACCCCTAGACTCCAAACAACTGTATCACCAAAAAGAGGCACTGCAACATTTCAGGGACAAACTGTAGCATTTCAACCACCAAGAAGAACCATGCCTAAGTTGCCCATAAAGAGAAAAAACAATTAGGATGTCGTTTGTTGTATTTTGATGAATTAAGATTATGTATTTTAGATGGTGTTTTTCTATTTAAGATGTTATGTTGCTGACATAGAAATATGTACTTTAGAAGATTAGTATGTATTTCAGATGACTACTATTTATTTTGGATAGATACTTTATGTATTATCTTTGGATTAATGAAGGATATGAAGGTCTTATCACTGTTTTGGTTAATTGGCCTTTTATGTATAATCAAGAATTCTTGTGATATTCTGTCTAATTATCAGGTCCTTTATTTTTACAGTTATTTAGTTGTAACACACAGGTCATTGAAGTTTCGTTTAGTATAAGAGGCATATCCTTTAATTCTTCTTTAGTGTGACAAATATGTTCTTACTGCAACACAAAATTGGACAAAATATAACAACAACAAATCGGACACAAACAACATTGAAAAAATTCATTACTCCATAACATTATAAAAATATCTTACAACACTAATATCAATATTAACCATAATCACAACGTATTAGTCAAAATACACATAAACACTACAAAAATCATAACTAAAAATATTATGATAAAGACTAGCATCTTCAACATGTTCTTCGTTATCTTCTAAGTGTAGTTGTCATCTTCATGGATCTTCTTATCATCTACATGGATCTTATTAATGATCCTTCTAAGTGTGTTGATTTTTACATACTTTTTCTCACATTTTGAACATCTTGAAGATTGAGATTATTGTGATTCTGGTTTCACTTTATCATTGTACTCTTTTTCAAACCACTCAAAATAGTTGCAGCCACAGTTAGAACCTTCAGTCTGTTAATATATAACAGTTAGCACCTTCAAAAAAAAGACAGAAATAGATAGCAATAAACGTACCACAAAGTCTCTACAGCCCCAAAAGAGCTTCCCAAAGTTTGGTCCTTTCTTCCTAACTGTTTATATCACTGCTTTGACTCCACAAGGACATCTTGGTGTGATTTCGTCATGAGTTGCACTCAAAATGAAGGAATGACATTTTGAATTTCGTGAATTTGACTCATTTGTATCGTATGAATCCATTGTTGGAGAATGGAAAAGATGAATTCAATGGGAGAAGATGAATACAATTCTAAGGATTTGATGAAGAAGAAAGTAATTTTTTAATTATTAAAGTTAAATAAAAATAAACAATTGCATGTCATCAATGTTACAACCACGTCAACAACATTAATGTCAGATATGCATTTTTAGAACATAATCTTTAAAAAATGGCAGCGATGTAAACATTATGTACCTTAAAGGACTCACTTGTAATAAAAAAAAACATAAAGAATCAACTCGTTACAATTTAATAACTTAAATAATACTTGGTGTAATTTAGTCATAAAAAAATTTCTAATAAGTTAGTTTTAGAGAAGAAAAAAAAAAGAAATTGGAGATTTGATCTCGCTTATGAGATTTTTAATTTTCAAACATAAGTGACACCATTTTCAAAGGCACCCTCGAGAACTACACAATCATCGTCAACAACTTTAATAAACAAAGTTGAGATGAGTGATAAACCCTAAAAATATTTGGGTACGATCTAGATCTAAAGTGTTTGGAAAGAGGTGAACTCACATGTTGAGTTATTATAATCAAATATGCCATTTAGCAAATAAACATTTTTTTTTTTGGTAAAATTTAAAAAATAAAATGGTCAAATTGATTAACAAGATGTTTTTGAGAAACTTAAATCAGTGTTTCTAACCAAAGGACTAACAACAATAATATCATAAATTTAATTAAGGAATTAAAAGTCTAATTAAACTTAATTTTAATGTGTAAAATCAATTTTGCAATCTAAACCATTTAATCTCGAATCAACGATCATAATTTTTTATTTAAGAAAACAATTCATTAATTTTTAGTTAACAAATAATTACTCTAAAAAAGAGTTACTAAAATACAACTTTATTTTTATTTCAAGAAAATTTTACAAAATATAAAATAATGTCTAATGTTTCTACTACAAGTTGTTATAAATAAAAATAATCTCAAGCAAAATAATTAGCTTCCCCAATTAAACTCACTTTAAACAAAAATAGAATTGCCTTTCCAAATCTCACTCTTGTTATATTTCTACTATTGAACACAAAACACATTAAAAAGAAAGCTTTGCATTAAACTTTAAAGTCTCCAATCATGAATTTGATGTATTTAACAAGATTTTAAAGTAAAAGAAAAATGTTTGGTAGAAGAACAAACACACATACAATGATGACCCAATGAAAATTTTATTTTAAGACATGATGTAAACTTTATGTCTAATTGAACTAAAAGAAAGAAACAAATGATCATTAATAAAGTCTCATTAAGAGGAATACATAAGAAAGCACAAAGATACAATAGTGAAAAAAACAAACACATGAAAAAGAAACACATGATTAGCTTTTCCTAGATACAAAATTCTAAAATCATACTTCCCAACAACATTCACTCCAAAAAGGTCTCCATAACATCTGAGTACATACCACCTTCTGAATTCCTATACTCCACACCTTGTTGTTGTTGATGATGATGATCCATTGAAGTAGATGAAGATGATGAAGCAACTCTTGTAGGTAAAGTGAAACTCCTCTTAAATTTGTCCATTTTCCCTCCACTATCATGGTGACTATCCAAGCTCAAAAATTCATTTGGGTTTGAGGCATCTGAATTAGGATTTTGATTAAGAGGGTGATGATGATTTTGATTTTGATTATGATTATGATTATGATTATGATCATGATCACTTTGTTTTCCTCCTAAGTTCTCTGGATTAAACAAAAGCTTAGCATCATCAGCTCTACCAGTTAGAGCATTAAAGAAAGACAAACCATTAGGCCATTTAATGTCATTTTCATGATGTTCTCCTCCCATCATGTCTTCAATTCTTGGAGTTTGATCATGTGATGATGATGCATGAGGCATGAGAAACATGTGTGTTTCATCTTTGGTTTGTGGAAAACCAAGCCTAGCTGCATGCTGTTGAAAATTGGGTGAGGATAACATGGATGAAGGAGAAGTTAGTGGTCTCTGACCCCAGTTGAAGAGTGGTGGAGGTGGCCTAATCGGAAGAGTGGTGGAAGATGGTTTTGAAGGAAGTGAAGCTGATGAGGAAGTGTTCCTTGTTGATGAGAAAAGCTGTGAGAGATAGAAACCAGATTGGTAGCCTAATGATTCAAATGTGTGCCTCATTCTTAGGACAAAATGAAGGTCCTCAGGAATCTGAAAAATAGAATCACAAATATTATTTGTCGAGATACATGAATTCACGCACTCGACAACCAGTGTCCACCGGATAAGATAAGACTGTATGAGTCTCTAGATCGGCGCGTGAACGTACAGTTATCTTGACCGCATGAAATCTAAGGTTGAGATTAGATATGTGTGGCCTTGTCCCAACAAGAAAAGAAGCTATTTCCATATATGAAAGGAAACTAAAAAAAGTATGATAAAAATGTACTTACAATCTTGCAAGAACCAAGTTGAAGAAGACCATGGCCAGCTTGGATTACAGCAATGGTCTGGTCAAGGAAGCAAAAAAATCTTAAAAACAAAATAGTCTTGTTGAGTTGTTGTGAGACCAAAGCTAGTAGTACTAAGAAACTAACAAATGATTTAGTATTCTGACCTGAATGCCTGACTCAAATTGGTCTGTCCATTCAGGAGGAAGCTGCAATTAATATCAAAAAGAGGTTAAAATGAATCAAAATAGCCAAGAGAAAAAGAAACAAAAAAACAAAAATTAAATGCTAAAGTAAAGTCTCCATCTAGTTAAGACAAGGGGAAAAGATGAGAGAAGTAGAAGTGTGATTGGATGTAGAAGAATGAATGAATACATACTGCATCAAATGAACTCTGCCAGTAGTTAGAGATGTTTGGTTCACATTCTGTTGGCTCTTTAAAGACCCATTTGTGACACTTATCAGATGCAACTTTCCCCATCAACCTGTTCCAAAACAAACAAGAACAAAAAACTCAACCAATCACAACATAGTAGTACAAAGAACAAGACTTTATTCACGTGTTTATGTATATGTTTGTGTATACAGTCAACAACAGTAGTAACTTCCTCCACATGTACAAGAATCAGATAGAAACAAACAAACAAAGACATACCCAGTACCCACCCTTCTCCATAATTATACAACTGAATGGACATTTTGCTGAAAGCTTTTCTAACAAGATCTTCTCCATCAATATCTTCAACACAACCTGATGATGAACCTCTTCCTCTACAAAATCCATCTTCCCACATCAACATCCTTAAAAACCACAAACAAACAAAAAAATGCATGTTAACTCAACACAGATTTACTAGTATGAAACAAACAAAGAGACAAGAAATTTAGACTTACAAGCTACCGTTATCATCACCAACCTTGCAGCCATTACCACCTCTAACTCTACTGCAAGAAATGGACAAGACCCAGATGAGAAAAAAAGAGAGACATATAGTAAGTAAGAGAGAGGGAGAGAGAAAGAGAGAGATACGGGCGAGGACGAATAGTCCAGAAGACAGAGTAAGTCCAGTCAGAGTTAAGACAGACGGTTCTGAGGGCCTCATGAAGGGCCATCATCCCAACAGCTTCTTTGCTCCTATCAGATGTTGCTCCTGAGCCCACCATCTCTATCTATCTCTAATTTCTCTCTCAACTATATACTACTACTGCTACCTTTTTTCTTTCTTTCTTTCTCCTACACTGTCTAATGTTTATCTCCCAACTCTTATTATTATTTACCTTTTTTTATTTCTCTATTTTTCTTTTTCTTTTTTTCTATCTTAGCTACTCTATAATGTTTAACCACCGCAAACAAAGACTTGTTCTTCATACTTTTCAAAATTACTAATTTATGCTAAACTTTTGGTTTTTATTCTTCTATATATATGTTTTGTTTTAACTCTTTTATATATATATATATATATATATATATATATATATATATATATATATATATATATATATATATATATATATATATATATATATATATATATATATATATAATTTAATTGGTATATACTAACAGTATAAAATTATAAAATTATTTTAGACTATCAATTAATCAACCTCCTGTATCTCACCATATTAGACTATATATAAGACTACATATAAACTCTTATGGCAATATAAAATATTCAGTGCATTACTAAATAATAAGATTAATCAACATTTAATAAATATCGTGTTTTACAATCTGTGTTCCTATTTTCTTTTGTTTTGTTGCTAGTTGATGTTTTAACAGTTATATAGAACAATTTAATATAAATATTTTGCAGAAACTAAACAATAATGAAAGTTGATATCAAATGATATATTTGTAAGAATTCTAAATTATAAAAAATTAAAATTAAAATTATTAATATATGCAGGGACTAAAAATTTGATTGATTCATTTATAAAATAATGCTAACATTTCTGTTTGGTTTGGTATCACAAAGATTTTCACAAAATTTTGTTTTATAATAATTTTGTCAAAAAACTATGATACTAAAGATACAATTAGACTTTATTTGGAGGTTTGGAGAGGACTATGGAGGAATTTGAGGGGGATTTATAAATAAATAGAAGAAAAAATATTTAAAATTTAAATTGTATTTTTATTTATAGAGAGTTTGATCTAACGTATTTTTAAGAAATTAGTTTGTAAGATAAAGGGTGTTATTCTATATAAAGTTTTTTAAATTTTTATGTCTAACTAATGTGGAGCTCTGAATTTTTACAATACATTCTTACGTCCAACACTCTTTTAAGTTTGGTGTGTGAATATAAATGTTAGATGACCCACTGTCCAATTGATAGACTTTGATGGCATATTAGAGTTTGACTAAACTCATTCATACAAAATCAATTTGTAAGGAGAGGGATGTCACTCCATATAAATTCTTTAAAAGTTTTATGTAAAACTAATGTGGGAGTTGGGATTTTTCCAACATACTCTCTCATGCCTAGTACTTTTTTGATTTGGTGTTTGGATATTAACGGTGTGTGACCCATGGTCGGATCGAGAGACTCTTATACTATATTATAGTTTGGTCTAATCATCCTTACGAAATCGACTTGTAAGGTGAAGGGTGTCAGTCTATATAAACTCTTTAAAGTCTTAATGTATAACATATGTAAAACTTAAAATCTTTCTAATACACTCCTTCACGGCTAACACTCTTTTAAATTTGATATGAAGATATAAATGTTAAGTGGCTCATGGTCGGATCGATAGGCTTTGATGCCTAGAGTTTCGCCTAAATATTAAAAAAATCACAAGTCACACATTAGTTATACATAAAGACTTTAAAGAGTTTTTATATAGAGTAACATTTCTCATCTTACAATCCAATTTTGTTACGATGAGTTAGGTCAAACTCTAATATGGTATCATAGCCTATCGATCATACCATTGACCGTCCACCATTTATATCCACGCATCAAGCACAAAAAAGTGTTGGGCATGAAAAGTGTATTAGAAAATTTTCAAGTCTCATATTGGTTTGACATAGAGACTCTAAAGAGTTTATACAAAGTGACACATTTCACCTTACAAGTTACTTTTGTAAGGAAATGTTATTTCAAACTTTAATATGATATCAGAGCCTATCGATTAGACCATGGGCCACCCATCGGTAATTTCCACGCACCAAGTCTAAAAAGGTGTTAAACGTGAGGGATGTATTGGAAAGATACTAAGTCCCACATTAGTTGGGCATAGAGCATGAAAAGATTTTATAAAGAGTGTCACCCCTCATCTTACAAACTGCTTTTGCAATGATGAGTTAAGTCAAACTCTAATATGATATCAGAGTCTATCAATCAGAACATGAGTTACGCACCGTTTATATACACCATACCCAAATGAGTGTTGGCGTGAAAGGTGTATTGAAAAGATTATTATTCACATGCTTAGACATAAATACTTTAAAGATGAGTTTATATAGAGTGACACGCATCACCTAACAAGTTGATTTTATAAGGATGAGTTAGGTCAAACTCTAATAATTTAGATTGATAAATGAATGTTTATCATTACGGTATTTTTTATTTTCAGAATATTATGACAATATAAAATATATTTAAAAATTTTATGTAAATCCTTCAAAAATCCTCGTCCAACATAAATTTTAAATTTTTTTAAATTATTAAAATTTTGTATTATAAATAAAAACAAATTCTTTAAAATTCTCTCAACCTAAATTCTTCAATCTTTTCTATTTTATACCTTTCTTTTTTCAAAACACTTATCCCACTTCTCCACTACAATATTTTAATTATTATTGATCCTCAGAAATTAAAATTTAATATTTTGAAGGTAGAATATATATTATTAAATAAGGATAAATTGATAAAAATTAATTAATTATGTATTAAAAAAAGTAAACCGACAATTCTTTCATAAAAAAATGTTATGAAAAGAAACCAAAATCTCAATGTTATGATAAAAATTCATTGTTATCATAATAAATGGATAAAAATTATTAAAACATTTATTTTATTTGACGACTACTACTCTCTCTCTCTCTTCTATTTGTTTGAATCAAAGGAGGTTTGTTTGTTTACTTTGAGAGAAGGTGGTAAAAAGAGTGATGAAGACTTGCTTTACTAAAGAGATTTTTTATATAAAAACAAAATTGGAATACTTTGGTACGTTTTTAACCATGAAAAACTGTGGGGTCAGCTTTTATCCTCTTTTTGTGTCTTTTTCTATTGGTTTTTTAACAAACAACAAAAGCAAAGTAGAAAATGTGATAAAGGAAAGAAAAAAATTAGAATCTGATTTAGTTTTGGAAGAAACAACTGGAAAAATAAATTAGAATCTGATTTAGTTTTGGAAGAAACAACCGAAATTTTAGAGGCGAGAGGCGTAGAATTTATTTGATTTTCAGGTGTTTAGCTTTTGTAAAGTATGCTTAATTCTATTTTTACAATTGATTCTTAAATTAGAATATAAAGCTTTTGAGTTTAAATTAATTTTTACATTAAAATTTATTGTTCAATTATATATAAATTTATTTAAACATAAATTAGTTTATTTCAACTTATTTTTATATAAAATTAATTTTACAGAATCAATTTATTCAAAATCAATTCATTTTACTGCAAAAACAAATACACGTTGAATTTTGGAAAAAAATGCACTACCTATAACAACTAAGTTTTACCCACTAAGTGAGGTCGACTACGTGGATCAATATCCGCCGTAATATTTTATTTAAGACGATGTTTTTATCTAAATTGTTAATCTCAAGATCTTTTTTTATAATTTCTCTTATAGTTTTTCTAGGTCTTCGTTTACCTTTAGCTATTTGACTTCTATTCATCTGATCTACTCTTCTTACTATAGAATCTACAAGTCTTTTCTCTACATGTCCAAATCTCCAAAGTCTATTTCTACCATAGGTGCTACCCAAACACTCTCTCTAATCATTTATAATCTTATCTTATCTAGCCTTGCCACACATCTAACGCAACATTATCATCTCTGCTACACTTACATTAGTCTCGTATTAATTCTTAAGCATCCAACATTATGTCTCATACAACATTTCAAGTCTTACCGCAGTCCAATCAAATTTCCATTCAATTTCATAAAATTCATAAAACCAGAAAATCGGGTTGGTAGAAGGTCAAAGTTTCCTGCAAAACCCCTCCCTCTCATAGGTAGGTTATAGTCTTGAAAGGTACGACATCTTATGCAGGTTGTCAGTATCATGGAATCTCAGGTTGAGTAACGATGATACATTCACCATTTCTGGTTTGGCATCATGGTCAATCAAGGAGGTCTCAACTGACTTCCCAATGAACGGTCTCCAGAGTCGTTAGTTTCCTAATTCAACATGATGCCAAACCAGAAATGGTGAATGTATCATCGTTACTCGACCTGAGATTCCATGATACTGACAACCTGCATAAGATGTCGTACCTTTCAAGACTATAACCTACCTATGAGAGGGAGGGGTTTTGCAGGAAACTTTGACCTTCTACCAACCCGGTTTTCTGGTTTTCTCGTCAGTGTGGACTTATAATCTTGGATGTTATGGTATTTTATCACCTTGGTATTCTGGATTTCTAGTTTTCTTATTGGAGCAAAACTCTAGTCTAATTTAGTCAGCAGCATAACAACTTTTGATGCCTCGATCCTTGTCTGCATTTGCATATTCATTCTCATCTTTACATTACATGTGTATGTGTTTTAGGTTTCTCATCTCTCCTTAGATTTTATTCCTGGTTTTCCTTGAAGATGGAAGTAGAGAGGAAGAAGGTTACTCTGTACAAGTTTCCTTTACCAGAGCTAAGACCTTTATTTGGTCTAATTGTTATGGCTGATCTGGGTACTCTTGAGGTGTTTAGAAGAGACTATGGGAGAATTTTGAGCCTTGTCCATAAAGTCACAATTTACGAGCAGGGAGCTATCCTTACTTTGTTGCAATTCTATGATCCACAGCTACGCTATTTTACCTTCCTGGATTATGTTTTAGTTCCTACATTGGAGGAGTTCGCTTTTATCTTAGGGATCACAGTCCAGAATAAAATACCGTTCTTTCATTCAGAAGAGGAGCTTGATCTTGAAAAGCTTGCAGTCGCTCTTTATTTGAGTGTGTCTGAGTTGGTAGGCAGTGTGATTACCAGGAGTG